CCCTCGGATCGAACCCGGGGAGTTCCCGTCATCGATCTATTGATTGTAATATTTGTAATGTTTGCTCACACCTGTTCAGCAGCAACAATAACAATATTGAAGGTGGAGCGCTCGGCATGCGAATTATGGTAATCTTGGGTCGAGCTACCGCGCAAGGCGCTCAAACGGAGTCGCTGCTCTCCGGAAAGCACATCATTCCTCCCCCTCCCCTCCTCTCCTCCATCCGATATCCTTTATTTGGTAGTGTGGATGAAGGTGGGCCTGGCAGGTGTTGCTCAGGGAGTATATTTATTATGTATTATTCTTACATCGACTCCATTCCTCTGTTATTGGACTTAGCAGGTGCCAGCTGAAGCGGTAAAATTTGCTTGCCAAAATTTATATCCTGTGGCTCATATTCGCAGTAACCGCTGGTGCATCTGGTCAGTGGACCCCCCGACTCAGTTTTGTACGACTGGTGATGCAGCTTGACTAAAGTGTATATTTTTGGCCGTACTGTTTTCTCTTTGACCAGCAGATTTGGCGCATAAGATTAGCACCGTTGTCGTGCAGCGGTTTAAAGGTCTGACTCTGCCGGTGAGACAACCAATCCCTCTACGATTCGTTTCGATGGTAAACCGGTACTGGCATTTGCCAGGATGTCGAACCTTCCATCAACTTGCCTATACGCAGCCCCCCGAAGAAAGAGGTATCGGCAGACTTACTAGCGAGTGGTTACTGTCGGCATTTGATATCACTTGGGCTAATTCCTAAGTGCTTTTGCCTTACTGGGACTGTAATACAAAGGAAGTTTTGACTTTTGACTTTCTCTTTTACTGTTATTAACTTATTTTGTTCCTAGGTACTGTTATTTATAATGCATGCTGCTCCATGAAGACGGCTCTGGCCTTGGAATGATTGTGTCTCCCTCCCTCTTGTGCTTGTCATTGAATACCATCAAAACTTATTGTTTGGAGAGGTGGAATGTGTTCTCGGCCTGCTGCTCATTTGAGGCGCGCTTATCTCGCATTCTTTTCATTCTCATAATGAGGCAGAGAGAATTTCATTCCTTTGTTATTGCTCCTGTCACTGTTACTCTTATGATCATCTGTCGTATTTCTGTCATGTTATTATCATCACTATCATTTTATTATGTCGCCATCATCTGATTATATTATTGTCACGCTGTGTTACCGTCACTGACATCTTATTATTTGTAATGTCTCCCTTTAATTTGTTTATTTGTTAGAGGTTATGCCAAGGATTCAAAACCGCTGCCAGTTTATTTGTAGGCAACCCTCAGACAGATGGACTTTCGACAGCCTTGCCAGCGAGTGTTTGCTCTTGGCATTAGCTACCTTTCGCTTGAGTGCTTCCTCTTGATTTTTGAATGTATTAAAGTCTTACTGTTAACTATCGTTTTATTATGCGTTTTTGCATATATGCGAACTGCAAAACGCATGTTGTAACAACCCTGTCTGTGTATGTATGTACGTTTGTGTGTGTGTTTGTATGCTGTATGTTTGTGTGTGCGTGTGTGTGTGTGTGTGTGTGTGTGCGTGTGTGTTTGTGTGTGTATTTGTGTGTGTGTATTTGTGTATATATGTGTGTGTGTGTGTGTGTGTGTGTGTGTGTGTGTGTCCGGGCATTTCAGCTCGGCAACCAAGTAAGCTCCGGTGCCGAAATTTTGCCAGTAGGCTCTCCTGCCAAAAGCCACCTCAGGACCGCGGTACCAATCATGCACATCTGGGAACTTGGGAAGAAATTACAAGGCTGAAACTTTAGGGCAATATTCATTATTCATGTACGGCCAAAGGACTTCAAATTCAGCTCCTTGTAACCGCCCGGGACTTAAGTACAGGCACGTGAAAATTTTGGCAGGGAAAATGATAACCCGGGAATGAGAAAAGCTAGAAGCTGAGAATTTAGGGTAATGTTCTCCTTCCGTATACAAACAAAAATCTTCAAATTCAGCTCCTTAGGACCGCCCATGTCTCACGTACGGACACGCGAAAGTTTATGCGGGAAAACTGCTAACTCGAGTATGAGGAAGGCTGAAAGGTTAGAATTCTGAGGGAATGTTCCTTACTCATGTGCGACTAAAAGATTTCAAACTCAACTCTCCTGGCGAGGTCTTTTTCACACACCAGCAACCTTCCATATCTCCGGTGACTGAAGCCGACATGTACAACTGGCATACCACGTGACTGCACAGTTAACTTCCTGAATTCCAAAAGCCAGTATTTCCAAAATTCTAGCTATTGTGATTCCTTGTGACTTTGCTACAGTACGAAATAGTGCAAAAACGCATAATCGCACTGGTTTGCTAAAATGCGTGATCGCACCGGCTTGCCTGGTTCGTTCCAGCCTGGATATGATTAATGATAGCAGGTATGATCTTCAACCCCCTCTTCCTTGAGATTTCGCGTAATGAGGGCCGTTGATTAACACAAATTCCCCAGTGTCGCCGATGTCCTCAAAGTGTCGAACCGGAGCAATCGCGCCCACCCTTTAAATACTACTGTAGTGAAGGCAATAACATACGGATGCTATGTGTGGTAACAGCGAATGCTAGCGAGAGCAGTGGAGCGAAGGATGTTTGGCGTGCCTCTTCATGTGTTTGTGAACAATTATTCTCCTTCAGGGGAGCAGCGCGCAGGTTATCATTGCGGCCACGTGCGAAAGTAAAATCCGTTGCGCAGGGCATGCTGCTTGTTTCATCGACAGTCGGTGGCTGTCGCGCATTAGTGAGTATTGGCCATGAGAAACTGACCACTCGGGTGGTCATCAAAGAGATGGCGCATATGCATCGAAAAAACAGTGTATGCTGACTGGAGCTGTGAAGCCCTCATCCGCCTGTCACAACTGTGCTAGGAAAAAAAAAACAAAATCGTGTAAAATTATATAAAAAAAATCTGATGAATAGGAATGTTTCGGTCCATTCAGTCATTGATATTCTTATGCAGCACTACATCTCGACAGTAGGAGGTCCAGTTGTGGTGTTGAATTTAACATTTCACTAATATCATTGACATGGAATACCCACACTGATAGCCCGGATGGTCTCGGAATTAATAGTATCAATATTAATGTTATTTTAATTATCATTGTCGGAATGCAAATATTAATCTTAAAATGTCAGTGTCCGAGAACGAGAGAGAGCGAGAAAGAAAGAGCAGCGCTTCTTCAGTGTCTTCGATGGCTTCCATCGGTGAGCGTGGAGATATAAATTTCTGCTCGCTGACAGTACTTGAGAAGAGCTTCCTCCATCCAGCAAATGGCTGTGTGCGATAGCTATCATTCGGCCCGTATGTCTGTGTGTGTGTGTATGTTGCGAAACTAACATCACATTTGACAAACATACTTGTACTGCGGTGGTTTGATCGTAGAGCGACTTAAAACTGCTGTATTCGTGATCCACGGAATGGCCCGAATATTGTCGCAGAAGCTGTTGCTGCTTCCTACAACCACACTACTACTACTGCTGCTGCTGCATCGAGTAGTTGTAAGCATGCTGTTACTGCAATGATCCTGGTACTTGCGCACTGTAAATTATTTGTCGCAACAGCTGTATTATTGCCTAATTTCAGTCGCGCTGCTGCGATTTTAAACAGTCTTCGATAGTTCACTGAATGCCGCCGCTGTTGAATTCGACGTGAGCTTTGGGTAGTCGCACGGACACTCGCATATTCAAGATAACAATAGACTCGAAAAGGAGACAGGCTTGGGAGCTGAAATTTTACGAGGATACTAACCGGCTTAGATGCTTAAAATTAGCTTTCATTAATGATTACGTCATGCATACGAACATATTAAACTGCAGGATGCAAAAGTGTTGACATTTTTCTAACTTGAGCACCAAAATAAGTATGAATACCTGCTACTCATTTGCGGGCCTGCAAGTGCAAAATTTCGTATTCACGAACGTTGTTTCGTGCGCTCACACGTCAAAAATCGGTTTTGCAAATTCGTCGCAGCCTTTTTCTGACTAATCAGACATTCTAGAAAGCTGAAATCCATGAAGTCGTGCAGTGCGACAGTTGGCGACTCCCTTCCCCCCTCCATCCCTTCTCCCTTCCTTCCTTGACGTCTTAGAAAAAGCCAGGACACTTCCCAGGTCGAATAGTGCGGATTTCAAGCTGTGAAACAACGGGATGTATTGTTAGTGGTTTGACTGCTTTAAATAAATAGCAACGCGCACTAGACTAGCCGGTGCGATCATGCGTTTTGTGCAATTCAGCCCATCGAATGATTGCCTACTAATGATTTTCACTCCTTTGTACTTTTGTCTATGCAAGAATAGTCCAAAAATTGGGAAATAGTTAAAAGTTTCACGCACCAGCGCACGAAAGCTGAGTTTGAAACCTTGAAGGGTGAATATCTTTCCGTGATTCCCTAGTTAATATTTTAGCCGCCAAAATTCTCACGAGGCTGTAGGTGATACTCAGCAGCGTGGGAACGCTGAATTTGAATGGGCAAGGTTGAGCCTGAGCAGGGGGTCATTACTGTAAAATTTCAGCCTCCTTGACTCCGTGGTTCCTGAGATATTGATTTACCCGTAAAAAACTTTCGCGGGGCCGTACGAGTTACCT